TCATCATCATTATTGTTATTGGTATTGTTATTGTTATTGTTATTGTTATTGTAATTTTATTGTTATTTTATTGTTATTTTTGGTAATTATATTATTTTTAAATTGTCTTTATTTTAATTGTTTTTCTTATTGTTATTGCTATTATTCTAAATAATTTGGTATACATGTTGTAATTATAATACAACGCCATAAGCACTTTAACTGTACCACCATCACCAAAAGAAATGTTAACCAAGCTCGCTGTGCATGGCTTTCATTCATGACCCAGGCTGATCTTTAAGGACTGGTGGGGCACCTGAGGTCTATTTTGGCTATTACAAGGCCTAGAGTGCTGATATTTGCTGTGGGACATCGTGTGTTATAAGGGATTTTAAATCAATAGTTCAAAAAGTATAATGTGAATCGGTTGCTATGGAAACGGCGGCCATATTGGATTTTGTATACCTTTTCCAATCCCATTTTTTTCCTTATTTGTTAACCGATTCACTTCTTATTTGGCATGCCAACAGTACATATGTAGCTCTTAAATTTGGCTTGTTGAATTTTTGATATATGCTTTAGTTTTTATTTTATGACATTTACAATTGAGATGTTACAAAAAAAGTGAAAAAATGGAAAATTCATGCTTTCTAAGCCCATAAATTAAAAACTACTACATTAATAAAAAATTCAACAAGCCAAAATTTAGAACTAGGTGTTGTTGGTATCCTATGAAAGTTACATGAAAATTGAATAAGAAACAGAGCAGAAAAATGTGATAATATGTGAATAAATAGAATTGTGAGAAAACAGCCGATACAGGTAAGAAAAGGCTAAACAACATGTGTTTTCGCTGAAAAACCTGACAAAAAAAACACAGCTTTAGGGTGTAGCAAGGCTTACATACGTTTCTGGATATTGTTTAGGAAGTGTCCAGGTACTATAATATGTAATAAACCCAATTTACAAAATTTGACCCCCAAACACGATTTCTAGGTGCCCCACCAGCCCTTAACGATTCTTGGAAAGTGTTGATTAAGTGAGTGCGCAACAGATTGTGGTAATCATGATATTCTTTCTGGTTGCTGTTGTTGTTGTTGTTGTTGTTGTTGTTGTTGTTGTTGTTGTTGCTGCTGCTGCTTGTTGTTGTTTTTAATTATAAATCTTTTTAAAATGTATATATAATTTTTTAAATTATTATTGATAGTAATCACTGCCCAGTCAGACTTCCCACCTTGATCAAAACTCACAGATCCGACTTATTCAATAGTTTATCCATAGGTTTTCTGTGAGTTGCTTTACGTGTTGGGATTTGTGTTGAATCATTTGCGAGTTACCTAATAAAAACCTGGTAAAGAGAGTGACTTTTCAATTCAGAACCCAGTGATAAATTAGAACAAATGTAAAAAGAGGTAGGCTGCTGATACACATGACAAATACAGCGTGAAAGAAGAGGCGGGGTTCTGGGAACAACAAGAACAAGAAGGCCATCCAGGAGTAGCAGACTGGCCAGTAGCGGTGGCTAGATACTGAATAAAGGGACAAAGCAAAGGGGACAATGATGGGAAAGGAGAAAAAAAGTGGAAGGGGGGGGGGGGGGGGGACAGAAAGTAGGAAGGAAAATTTTCAAGAAGTCATGCAAGAGAACACTGAGTCACGGACGGCCAAAGAAGTAGAGAGAACGGACGAAGCCATGCGAAAAGTGGAGGACATATTAACAATCAATGACGCTTTGTTGTACAAAAATAGACACGACATCTTCTCCTGTAATAAGCATAAACCATCTCGAAGCGTCTGGACGAGGGAGGATAAGACAAATAACTGGCATGGAGTTAGAAGATTCGGGGAAAAAACGGAAAGCGAAAATAAAGATAAGAGATGAGGAATATAGGGGCAAAGAAAAAAGGGGGGAAAGGTGTGTGTGTGTGTGTGTGTGTGTGTGTGTGTGTGTGTGTGTGTGTGTTGGGGGGTTATCAGTTATAAAGTGGGGTTAAATTTGAAGCGAAGAAGAAGAGGGGGGAAAAGTTCGATGATCGTAGACAGATTCCTCCCCGAAATCAGACGTCTTTCCTTTGTGATTTCCTTTGTTTGGTAAAAACAATGGATTACCTCCATGCTATTGTCCCGCTTCCTCCCCCACTCAACAATGCATGTCCCCGTCCCTTTGTGCCAACGTCTCCCCCCGCCTATAGCATTATCGCAGCTCACAACAGTACCGCGACGGACCGCCAGTTTATTTTCAGCGTGTGCAGGAAGCCACGAGGGGGCGTGCCCCGACTCCTGACGGCTGCCGGGAAAATTGCAGAGCTCTCCTACGCCAGAGGCTAGAATTAGCCGGCCCAGCCGCCTCCCTCTGATTGGCTGCCCTGCAATCATTACCCGCCAAAGCCTATGGTTTGGGCGGCGGAGGGCGGGACGCGAGGTTTTCATAATCTTCCCACTAGTCAAAACCCGCCACACATTTGGAAAAAGTCGCCTAACATAACCCATGAGTATCTCTTTACCTTATCCCGCAGTTTGCGATATCGAAACGGCCGTACGCAAGCTATTGTGTTTCTTCGCCTCCTCGCTATCCGAGTTCTTGTGTCAAGTGTAACTCTTTTGTGCAACTCCTTCACTTTGGGGCGGAATCCTCCAGTCGGCGAACACACGACCCAGACAGACGTTCGCTGCCATTGCTGTCGCTGATTGAACTGTTCTCATCACCGTCTTCATCTGCTCTACTCACCTTGTGTTGCGGTTTTGCCCTTTCAGTTTTTGGTCAGTGGACATCTCGTAGCTTAAGTAGCTCTCTGACTTTACAGAGCCTGTTAGATGTGTTACTGTGAGTAGCTGTGGTGTTCATTCTTACTTCGGTTCAAGCTGTGGAAAAGTGCGAGGTGGAGCCAAAACATTAACTTGACATAGCAGCTACGTTTCAAAGTCGTTGCGCTTCAGTGTGTTACAAGAATAAAATGTGCTCCTAGGGTTTTACCAAAGAAGTAAATGCACAACAGACTTTGAGTTCACCTCCACCGAGTAAACCTGTTTAAAAATAAATAACAACAACAAAATGCTACCCATGACATTTGAAAGTGCATCATAAACGGTTTAGACTCTGTATTCTATTTCATTTGAGTCCCATTCCTCAAATTGGAAAGGGAAAGCAGACGACATTTCTCATAGAGGTTTCTTTGGTGAGCGTCTTTCTGCCCACACATCGGGCGGCAGTTTGTTCTAGTTCAACCCTTTGTGGAGTAAGACGAACAAGGAAGGACATCTTCTTTCCCCACTGTCTTCAGTTCATCGGCGCCCTCAGTATACAAGTGGACGGGGCACGCTTTCCGACGGCACACAATATGTCCGTTGTTGGGGTATGTATTCGATCTACTTTATCTTCTTCTTTTTCTTCCCCCTGTCACAGATCAGGGGTAGTCGACTATTGATTTCTCATCTTACAATACAACTGATTCTACATATAGGTGACCGTTTTTCTTACTCGGTAGGGCCCCTCACCTTCAGACAACTACATTCCGATTTCGAAGGCACTCTACTATGTTTTTATACTTTTGTCAGTTTTAGTAGGAATTAATTTTTAATTTTGCCCTTGTGGCTGTCGAAGCCTACTCTTATCATTTTTTTGACCCCCAAGGGATTTTAATCGTGCGCAACTTGTACACGGGACCCCCCAGTATTACTTCATGACAGTAATGATAATATAGCTCGGTTTTATAGCGCCTACTGACGTGTAGTGTATGATCCTCTCAAACAAATGTTGCCTTATATCCCAGCTCAACTTTACAAACAGAGATCGAGTGCTAGACATATTTTTCCTGAATCTTTCTGAATCAAGAAAAGGAACCTTACCCCCACCCCCACCCCATGTATTTCTTGTTAACCCTGTTACGATAATCAAAAACGGTAGCCTATTTCAACGACATTTATTATTGTTGTTACTATCAAAGTATTTAATTGAAAGCAATATGTTCTTGTTTGTAAACCATTTGTTTTGATTTTTGCCCGAATTCTTGTAGATATTTAACTGCTGTTGATGCTGGTGTTGGAGGGGGTGGTGGTGCTGCTGGGATTGTTTCTTTATGGTTGTTGTTGTTCTTTTTTCTTCTTCTTCTTCTTCTTCTTCTTCTTCTTCTTCTTCTTCTTCTTCTTCTT